TTCGCTTCTTGACTAACTGAAAGGCCTTAGCCGCCTCTCGTGTCCAATGAAACTCCCCTTTCTTCATGCACTCCGTAATAGGCGCCATAATAGTGTTAAACCCCTTAATAAAGCGAGGTAGAACGTAGCTAAACCGTGAAAGCTTCTAACGTCATGGATAACTTTAGGCTCAGGCCAGTCAATAATCGCCTGAACCTTAGCAGGGTCAGCGGATACCCCTGTCGAAGAGACAATGAATCCCAGAAAAACAACTGTGTCGGTGAAGAAAGAGCACTTCTTGACATTCGCATGTAGATTAGTTGCACGAAGGGTAGAGCAAACTTGCGTGAGGTGGTCAAGGTGTTGCTCCTTAGTCTTACTATAGATAAGGATATCATCAAAGTAGACAACAAGAAACTTGCCCATAAAAGGTTGGAGAGTTTGTGTCATTACTCGCATAAAGGTACTTGGCGCATTGCTCAGCCCAAAAGGCATGACTAGCCATTCATAAAGACCATCTTTCGTCTTAAACGTGGTCTTCCACTCATCCCCTGGGCGAATTCGAATTTGATGGTATCCACTCTTCAGATCAATCTTCGAAAAGATTGTGACACCAACCATCATATCTAACATATCGTCAAGTCTAGGAATTGGAAAACGATACTTCACCGTGATCCTATTGATCGCGCGACTATCCACACACATTCGCCAAGAGCCATCCTTTTTGGGCGTCAATAGGGCGGGGACCGCACACGGGCTTAAACTCTCACGAATGAATCCCTTGTGAAGGAGATCATCCACTTGCCTTTGAAGTTCAGCGTGCTCGGTAGGATTCATCCTATAATGAGACAAATTTGGGAGGGATGCCCCTGGAACGAAGTCTATGGCATGTTGAATATCCCTCAGTGGAGGTAGATGATCAGGGAGGTCTTCTGGAAAGACGTCTCGAAACTCTTGGAGGACCGATAGGACTTCAACAGGGCTCTCTATTGCGGAGTGTGATGGGACCTCCATGACCACCAAAGCGAAGACAACTGAGTCACCAACAAGTGTACGCTCAAACTCCGTAGGACTAATGATATGCAATCCTTTTCGTTCCACACTTTTCTTCGTTTCCAGTGGGCCAACAGGTTTCGGAGACAGTGGGTTAAGGTAAATCTTCTTTCCATTAAAAACAAAAGAGCAGGAATTGGATCGACCGTAGATGGTGACATCTAGGTCAAATAACCAAGGTCGTCCCAAGATGATGCGCCCGACGTCCATTGAAATGACGTCACACCATATATGGTCCTCATACTTGAGAAACTGGATAGGGACCAAACAACGCTCCTTGACAGCTATGGAGGAGGTATCAACCCAAGAGACGCTGTATGGCTGAGGGTGAGGAACAGACTTCAACCCTAGACGGGATACAGTGGCCATCGAAACCGCATTAATGCAGCTGTCACTATCCACTATAACTTTACAGCCCTTATTATTAATCTTGATGTAAGTGTGGAAGATGGCATGACGGCGCCAATCATCGGCATCCCTCGGCTGGGTAAGAGTACAACGGACGACACCGACCCTAGGTGTATGTGGGATAAGGGGATTAGCCTGGATACAACCCAAGAAGGTATCTTCACTATCCTCCAAGTCATCAAACTCTTCTAACTTAAGCTTATACACCTGATCCTCTAGTGGCTCGTCAACTATACCTTCACGCTCTTCCAAAACTAGGGCTCAGCTAGGACACTTAGAAGCAATGTGACCAAAACCCTTACAGTTGAAGCATTGCAAACGAGAGGACGTTCTTGAAACCTCAGAACCTCTACCTTTACTATCCGATATAGGGGTAGGATTAGAAGGAGGAGGTCCTAGAATAGACTTAGGGGATGGAGCGGATGCAGAAGAGGTTGCGGTGCGGGAGTCACTACGACTTCTGTACGGTGTCCTAGTCACTAACTCCTAATCCCGAACGAAAGAGTAGGCGTGGTCAAGAGTGGTGACACCTCTAAGAACAAGCTCACGTCTAAGATCATCCTACTCAAAGTCATGACTTCGTCCTCAACGACCTGACATCTCATTCGAAACTCGTCAAACTGAGCAACATATTCGGTCACAGGTCGACTGCCTTGTGTCAGTGCGTTCCATTGATCCAGTAAGTTGCCCCTGTAAGATTGAGGTAAATATTTTTCTTCAAGGCGACGCTTCATTTCATTCCAACTCCCAACAGGGGGAGCATGGCGCCTCTCTAGGAGGTCCTCAACGCTTTCCCAAAATAGTTGAGCAGTGCCAGTCAATTTCAAACTGGCAAATTGTACCCTTCGATCTTCAGGGACCCCATACGAGGCAAAGAAGCGATCCATATCCCTAACCCATTGATTGAATACACTAGGATCTAGACGACCATCAAATGTAGGGGCATCCAACTTAATATTTCGAAAGAGGCGCTCCTCGTGGCGAGGGGGGGACAGTGTACCATGACGGTGATATTCCCGCTCGCGCCCACGAGCTTGATTTCCTTCCCTACGATCATGTCTAGCATGGTGTCGACCACCTTGTGGACGACGATGAGGTCTATTAATGGAAGCGTCAGAATTTTCAGCCTCAGTTGAGTATTGGGTCGGGTCAAGAGTGTTTACCCTAGCGGTTAGGGCTCTATTCTCCTCGCGCGTAGCGGCTAACTCAGTTTGGACAGCCGTTAATTGATTTTGTAATTGTGCCAACTGTCGGGTGATAGCTTCAATGTGGAAAGGGTCCATGGCAACGGTACTAGAGCTAGAGGCAGTAACGCGACCACTACGCAATTGCATACACGGTAACACAAGCTAGGTGATTGAAATTTATCCATTGTTATTATTATTATTATTTTATTCTATCATAGGGATTACGTATAGCCCGATCGCAAGCTAATACTACTAATGCCAATAAAATAAAAATCAAAGGTACAAATGCTAGGTCTAGTCACGTGGGGTAAACGAGTGAACAATGGGGTCGGCTCGTGAATTTCAATCCAATAGATTAAGACTAAATTGTTAAAATATTAGCAACACAAAGAATTATTGATGCAGTTCTAAAATACAGTAACAGTGTCACTAAAATGAGTAGGATCAGAGACTCCCTGAGTTCAGTTGGCTCGAGTCGTCCTAGCGTTGAATGCCTCCACTTTTTGAACTGTTAAGCGCTGAGATGCCAAGACAGAAAATTTCGTATTCGTTGAGGAAATAATGTACCTATAAAAAATGTAAGGAAATACCAAAAATTCTCGATTCTTTTTTTTTTTTTTTTTTTTATTTAACTCTTCTTTTTCTTTTTTTGACTCTTTTTTTTAAATAATACAAAATCAGAACAACAAAATAATAAATGAGCCCATTTCACAAATTTGGACCTAAATCACACTCAAAACCTTAAACAAGCCAAAGCCCAAGCAATACAAATAACCCAACCCACTTAATTATTAAATCAATTAACCCAATCCCAATTGATAACTAATAACCCAGCCCAAACCCATAATTCATAACAACGCTGCAAAGGTCAGCGACTTGACTGGCCGACGAAGAACGTCTCAACGAAGATGGGCTTGGACGGCTAGTACTGGAACAGCCGGTAGTTTGCTGGCGGCTGTTGGCGACAGTGTGCTTCAAGCGGTGGTCGATGTGGAGCGATTTGTCTGATTTTGTAAAGTTGCAGGATGGCGGATTTGTCTGATTTGCCTGACTTGATGGTGCAATTGGGATGGCGGATGGATTTTCCTATCTTCTGCGCCAGGATTTCAGGTAAAGAAATAGCGGAGCCGCGGCCGAGAAAAGGTAGTTGCGATGGCGTCCGAGGCGGCGGCGAGGCTGGTTGTTTCAGCTTCAGCCGGTTGTGGTGGTGGGGTGTGAACTGAAAAGGCCTTTGTTTCAATTGTTTGGCTGTAATACCGGTAAGTTGGTTGTATGTAGCGGGAGGGACTGGGTTCTACAACAAGTTTTGTTTTGTCTGCAGCAACGGGTTCTGTATTGATGCTGCGTGAATTGCTGTCCAGGGTTTGCTCTGATACCAATTTGATGTAGGGGAATAACTCAGTAAGTATAACAAGAAGAGATGGGGGAAGGGAAGAGAAGAAGAAGACAGAGGATGGGGAAGAGAGGAAAAACGGCAGCAAGCCAACTCTTTTATTTAATCAAATTCATCAACTGAAAAATAACAATGTAAAATAGGTTTAAATACTAGAAAATACTGCAAACCTAGGGCCAAGCCCAATACACAAGTCCATAAAATTAAAATAACCTAAATCCAACTAAAATAATTAAAACTGCTAAAATAATTAAAATGGACTGAGATGTCCCCATCATCATCTCTATTGATAAGCTTTATTACACTGAAATTTCACTTAAATATGTCTATTTTTAAGATTTGATGTCCCTCTGTCATCTCCAATTCTTCCAATCCTTGTTCCCCAACCTGGGCAGTCATCGCTGTTCAAATGGCAAAGTGAAGGCATGTGATGAAAGAAGATAAGCTATTCCTTTGTTTTTCCCTTTTGTTCCTCTGAGTTTAGAACTGATTGCAAAACCATAAGTGAACATCATCGAATATAGGGATATGTGAAGTTCCCTTTGAAATGGAAATCCTCCTTTCTATCATTAAGATGAAATATTCGGTGATCAAGTAGAGTTTAGTTCTCCGTACAATTATGCTATATAATAAATTTGACAAGTAGTCCGTTTAATACACTCCCAACTAACTAGTGTTACCATAAACAAATTCTATTATAAGAACAGATCGTACCTCCAAATGATAAATAGTCAACACTACAACATCCGGTATAAGATGTCAATCCTTATATGTTGATCATGAACAATTTTATTCATTTTTCAAAATATAAGTGGTATCACAATGTGTTTTTTGACACACGCACACAACTTTTATCATCACAAGTAATCGCACAATATTAAAAAAAATGTAGGAATATTGAATGAATGAAAATAGAAAATTATTATAAAATTTTTATTTTATTACATTAAAAACTATATTATATGGAACACAACACAACAAAGAGCAGGTGCAATTCTTCAAATATCAACATAATCAAAGCTATAAATGAGTAATTATTACACACAATTTATTGCTGAAGAGGATCTTAAAACCTATATTGCTCAAAACATACAAACTGATGTTGAAGAATAATCCTTCCTTAGGCAGTCCATGATGCTGATGTTGGTTTCTTACAGTAATCTCTGGCCACCTTGGCCAGAATGCCTATCAGTAATGGCATAGCAATGGAAATGATAACAAATAACACGGATAGATTGCCGGTTGCCATTTCGGTCATACAAGTATCGTACGTTACTGCAAGTGCGAAAAGTGAGGCTCGCAATTCCAATTGTAAAGGGAATCCAAAAGTGAGAAAAAATATCATCTGAACAGATGTGAAAAACCCTATTGAGTTGAAAATCAGGAATAGACCGAATGCAGCTGAATTCTGTGTTCCCATCACTGCTTTTCCAGCAGTATGTGCTGGTGACCGTGTGGCGTCCTTGATGGTGGTCGTGTTACTGCTACTCGTAGGCCTAAAGTCCTCCTGCCAAACACCACCAGGTGGACTATGGACAGCTTGATATGTTGCAGTTGTGATTAATGTAGCTACCACAAGCAATACACTTCGGACTTCACTTGGAGTCTCTTTAGCTTTGTCAAATTTGAAGTATTCCTGCAATTTCTCATATGGCTTTCGAGGCCTTTCTCTCCTTAATTCATCATTTGGATCATGAGTGGGAACGATCCCGTTCTCTGTTTGTGTTGTCTGTTGCACTGAAGCCCCAGCTAGACAAAGCATTTCCTCAATTTCATCATCACCCCCTTCTGATAGTAATACATCAAGTGGTGTACGGTCCATTTTGTTCAAGGAATTCACCTCCAACAAGCCTTTCCTGACAAAATTCTCATCTAGCATCAACTCAACAACCTGAGGAATAAAAAAACCTTTATTCAGAGTGTAATGCATAGACTTAACGATATCACAACTCCAAAATAGATAGAACGCTAAAAGCATATTTTTTTGGTTTGTGGTACTGCATAGTATATCTCGTCCAATCCATCCGGCCAAAAAAGAGATAAGTTGTTCGTATTTGCCTCATATTGCTTTCTGGAAACTGCAAGATGCAAGATGGTGTTCCCTCGTGCATCCTTCTCATTAAATATATCCTCCCTATTATTGGTCTTCAGGTACACTGCCAGGCTCTTAAAGGCTTCAAATTGGTTGTTTTTCACAGCCAGATGGAGAGAATTTTCACCACGAGCCGTCGCTTTTCTTATGCTACCTTCATTGGCTGAAAGCAGTTCTTTAATGACTTCTATCCTGCCTTTGATCACTGCATAGTGCAGGGGAATTCTCATTTCATTTCCCTTAACCATACACAAACTACGATCTCTTATCAGGAGCTCTTTTACGATCTCTATATCCCCATTACCTGCAGCAATATGCAGGGGGCTGAAACCGTCGTGGCTCAATTCTTTTGCGAATTCTGGACTCAGATTTAGAACCTCTTTCGCAAAACTCAGGTTTCCCGCCATACAAGCAATATGTAACGGAGTTTCTCCACGTGATAATGCTACAGCCTTCATCAGGAAAGGATCGTCTTTGATCAGAGTTTGCAGTTGATGAACATCTCCCTTATGAGCAGCCTCAATTAGCCTTCTGTCCATAGGTTGCAGATAATTTTTCTGAGCCTAAGATCAGTTGTACCACTTCTGGATGGTCAAAATAAAAACTAGCAATTTAAACTATTATCCATTCTTGTCTTATATAACAAAAATCTCAAATGAGTTAGAATGCAATTTTGAAACGATTTTGATAGAACGAATAAGTCAAACAAGGCTGTGTATCCTTGTACACGTTGGTTTGAAAATGACCAATTCAACTTTGAGAAAATGCAAGGAAATGGCCGGTTAATCTAAGACCAATAAGATGAACATTAAGGGTCCGTTTAATTGAAAGAATGGAACTTAGGTGTAAAGAAAACGAATTTTAGGGAATTGAATTGCCTAGAATTTGTTTTACTAGGAATTGTCAATTAAATGTGTTTGATTAGTATCATTTTTTACTGGAAAATATTGAAATTTTGGATGTTTTGGTGTTCGTTTGGCTTTGTTTTTCATGAAAATTATCAATTAAATGGAAATTTTTTTTTACAATTACGAATAGAATTTGTTTCCATTACTAAAAAAAAAAAAGGCCTGGAAAACCCATTTTCTCACCAAAACCCAAGGAATTGGAATTCCTTCAAAACCAAGAAAATGGCTTCACGTGAGGGAGAAGTGGAAAAGTAATTCCATGAAAAATTTTGGGAATCAAACAACACAAACTGGGTGGAAATTTTTTCATGGAAAATGGCTCTATCAAACAGGCCCTAAATTAAAATTTTAAGTTAGATCTATATTTGAAAATGAGTGTTTAATGAGGAGTATTGTACTAGTCATTACATAAGGGAAAAAAGATGACATGTTGTGAAGCTACTAGGGCTGGACAAAACTCCCGAATCAAATTAATCGAATCGAACCGAATCGAGCTGTTATTCTTATGTTAAATACCGCCCTTGATCTACGCGGATCAGGGGCCAGCTAACGCGTGAAACACTCCGCCTGGGGAGTACGGTCGCAAGATCGAAACTCAAAGGAATTGACGGGGGCCCACACAAGCGGTGGTTTAATTCGATACAACGCGCAAAACCTTACCAGCCCTTGACATATGAACAACAAAACATGTCCTTAACGGGATGGTACTGACTTTCATACAGGTGTTGCATGGCTAAAAATTTTTCAATTCAGGGGATGAATATATGACAATTGAACTGATAAACCAATATCAGTCTCAACGGAAGTTAGTACTTTGTAGGTATCTGAATCGAGAATCAACGGGTTTGGTTTGGTTCTCGATTCTAAATCAAAAATCTAAAAATCGAATAAGAATCGAATTTTCCTAATTTTTTAATTAATTTATTTTAAATAAGCCAAATTATTTTATTTTATCTAAATAAATTTATTAACTAGTTAATTTAGTTCAAACCAAAAAATATGATTTTTCTATTTCTAATTTTCAATTCAAAGCCAACTTAATCAAATTGACTTAAGTTTTATCCAAATCTGTTACTATACCGTGGTACCATTTCTACCGTTCTAGAGAAATTGAATTGAAGCTCGACAACGTCTCTCTTAATTATTTTGAGCTCGTTATCTTCATCTTCCTATGATTTTAACGATCAAATCTATGAAAAACTCAGCAAAAAAAGATGTAAAAGACACATAAGATTGGACTATGTTATCCTGTAAAAGCTAAGATTGTACATATCATTAGTTGAAATAATGTTTTGTAAATATTAAAAAATTTAACTATAATATGGAACTTAGGAACCGAATTGAACCGAATCGAACCGAACCTGAACAATTCCATAATTAAATTTGGATTCGACGGTTCACTTACTAAATACCCCAAAATTTCGGGTCCGATTCAATTCTCATTAGAATCGAATTGAACCGAAATATGTCTAGCCCTAGAAGTTGCTCTGTAAAAGATCCCAAGGAGGAAGCTTATTTAAAATTCCAAAAAGAAAACTCTAAAAGGGTTAAAGTTATATATGAAACAGAAGACTCGCAGCAAATCAGAAAAAGCAAGTGTATGAAACAGAAGATGCACTATATGTATTGATTAAACTCCAAACACTTCTTTGAGAGAATTAGACTTTTGACAATAAATGATTAGCTTAGTTGAGTTTTAGATGTCAAAGCAATTAAAATTTGAAAAATTATTATTTATTGAGGTATTGACTTATAATTAATTAAATTAATCCAAACTAGAGAGGGCGCATAGTGGTATAAATATTCAACATTGGATCACACTTTGGGAAAAGAGTTGAATGAATAAGTTTGAGATAAAAATTCAACTTGTGAATTCATAACATTTTACTTAATTCTTCACACACGGACGTGTCAGTTTTGCATTGAATAAATAGATTTAGATTTTGGTTTTGTGACCTTGAAGTTATTTATGGACGTAAAATAATAAGGGCTAATTGCAGTAGAAGTTCCAAATATTTTAAATGCTAGTATACTTTCTCCAAATCTTTAATTTTTTGCAATTGTCACCCTAATATTTTCAAACGTTGCAGATGAGGCTCCAATGAAAACATCCAATTTACCGTTAGTGGGCTAAAAATTGAGTTTGACCATAATTTTTTAATATTTTTATAAAGGGAAAATAGTAACTTTCTATTTGCCAAATTAAATAATTACATTAATTAATTAAACTAAAAGAAAAAAAGGGGAAAAAACTGTATCTTCTTCCTCCAATCCCTTCATCAACCCACCTAGCCCCAGTCCCATCCTAACCAAAGTCACTACCACATTGCCACCACTACCTCTCCCTTCACCCTTCCCTCTCCAATCACCCAACACCATAAATCGTATTTTTATGAGAGATAAAAACATGTGTATTTTGACAGCTCTCCTCCCATAAGAGAACGGATGTCTATTTTCTTCACAGTGTGATATGCTAAATCAATGACATGGCTTCAACCTCGGCTTTTAATTTTTAGATTTTCTTCCAAGTTTGGAGGTTCGTGGTGGAAGTTTTATCACATTGATTGTCCAAAAATCTTTGCCGATATGCTCCGAATACGGTCTCATATTCTGTAGGTGTCGAATTAGGAAGACTGACGGATGTGGACCGGAGAAAATGGCATATTGGACCTCTACATCTTTTCCTAGTGTTGAATGTCTTGTTTGATTATTCTTCCCTTCTAAAATACAGGCAATCATAGAGAGAATAGGGGAAATGGAAAAGCAGGATTAGGGTTTCGTGTGGTGGACAATAACAATCTTTTGAGCCATTTGTCAACATTACTTAGAGAACACAAAAATGCCGCTTGCTGTGAATAGAGTGGTAATGGTGGCAACGGAGATGGTGGCGGTTTTGGTTAGGGTGGGGTTGAGGTTAAGTGGGTTGGGGATGCGATGGGAGGAAGAAGATACAGTTTTTTCCTTTTTTTGGCTTTTTTAATTTAATTAATTAAAGTAATTATTTAATTTGGTAAATAAAAAGTTACTATTTTTCCATTTATAAAAATATTAAAAATTGTGGTCAAACTCAATTTTCTGGTCAACTAACGATAAATTGGATGTTTTCCATCCATTAGGGCTTCGTCTGCAACGCTTGAAAAGATTAGGGGTGATGATTGCAACAAATCAAAGGTTCAGGAAAAGTTTGCTAGTGTTTGAAAGGTTTGAAACCACTGTTGCAATTATCTCAAATAATAATTTTAATTCTAAGACAAATGACAGGTTAACTAACCAATTTTGTTATTTGTTTGTTTGTTGAGATATGTTATAATTTTGTTTGAGAACAAACAAATATTTGAATTTGGAAGTGTTTGATAAGTGTAATTTATACACTTACATTGGCATTTAAATATAGACATTTAAGAGCTTTATGATTAATTATGGTTTAGTCTCTTGTATATTTTATTTGTTGGGGAAAAATTCGATGATTAAAAGTGAAATTGGAAGAAAAGAACGAGAAATAAGGCAAAAAAGAATGAAATCTAAAGTTTGGAGACCAAATTGAAAATATCTAATAGTTAGTTCGGACCAAAAAGATAATGATCGAAGATTATACATGTTCAATAGGATGTAAATGGGAGATAAAAGGCAAAAATGGTAAGAGGCACAACTTCAAAAGTTAGCAAGTGGCACATGGGGCCTACCTAAAGCTTCGTGCTCGCACCCCCTCTTTGAGGAACCCAGTGGCGAATCTAATCTTGAGTTTAAACGTGGGTTACAATACAAATATACATTGATTTATCTTAGGGGAAAATTCATATCTCAGATATATTTTTTTATGCCATTTCAAAAATTAGGTAAGCTTGAAAATTCAAAACTCAGGTTTGTATTTAATTAACTAAAAATATTTATTAAATAAATATATTAGAGTCACAGTTAAATAATTAATGATCACAGATTTATTTACTGATCACATATTATCAAATTAATTAGTCACGAATTATTTAGAGGTCACAAATCGAAAATTTTATAAGTTTCAGATTTTTTTTAGTCACAGACCAAATTGTTGAGGTCGCAGATTATTGTTTTAATCACAGATCATTAAATTTTAAGGTCACAAACTAAATCGTTGAGGTCACAGATTATTTTTTAATCACAGACTATCAAATTTTAAAGTCATAGACCACCGCCAACAAAAAAACACATCGATAATCAACTCAAACCACCAACTTGCATCACCACAACCACCATCGTCGCCGCCGCACACCACACCAACACCGTAGCAAACACCACCACCCACATTGTACCAACAAAACTGCACACATACCACGGATCAGCCAACTCCACCACCTGCATCAACAACCATCACCACCACCCACAACGTACCAAGACACCAACACAGCCAGAACCACCACCAAACGCCGACCACAACCATAACTCCACCATTGCAGTCCTACCTAGATCTACCACACCCGACACCACAATCACAAAAAAATAATAATAATAATAATAATAAAATCCACCAACCATACCATCGCTGCCTGAACCAAACTACCACCGTGTCACACCACAAACGCCACCACATCACCATCAGGCACAAAAAAAGCTACACAGAGAAGTCGCCACATCACCATGTCAAACACCACAAATGTCACCACATCAACGCCGAGTAGCGACGCCGGTCTCACATCTAACCGGAGAGAGAACTTGTAGATCTCACCACACCATA